AAAAAATGCAAGTCCAATTGCTTTGATATTACATATATAGTTACTACATGTGGACCTCTCTCAGATTTGTTCATTATTTAATGATATCTTCAATTCTCTAATTTTGGGGAATATTTTTTTGTCATTTTTGGTAAAAAGTGATATTTTCAACTTCTTGTTAAAAACTGCAAGTCCAATTGCTTTGATATTACATATATAGTTACTACATGTGGATCTCTCACAGATTTGTTCATTTTGTAATGATATCTTTAGTTCTCTAATTTTGGTGAATATTTTTGTCATTTTTGGTAAAAAGTGATATTTTCGACTTCTTGTTAAAAACCGCATTCATTTATGGTGAAAAATGATATTTTTTGAATTCTTGTTGAAAACAGCAAGTCCCATTGCATTGATACTATGCATATTGTTCATTTTCTAATGATATCTTCTGTTCTTTAATTGAAATGTGCAGTGCTAACAGCGGAGCTATCTTAGCCGAGAGGCTGCTTGTTTTTGGTTCCAATCACATTTCAATAAAACTTGGTACATAGATGGTCTGTTACATTGCGCAGACCTCATTAGTTTTCCATTAAAATCTGATTTGCATTATTAGTTTTCGGCTTTTCCATCACTATCACTATCTCTGACAAGTAATTTTGAATTATATTTAATGTGTCTCGAATACTCTCAGCACATAGGAGTTCTTTCTAAGCTTTCTTTGATTTTTATGTTACATGTGATTATTGCTTTGGACAGACAGCAAATTCTTTCATGTTTTATTTACAATTTATTGTATGCTATTTTTCCATCATAGTTGTCCAGAGGAAGGATGTGGGAAGACGTTTGCTTGGAGGGAGAATATTAAAACTCATCTCAAACGTAGTCATAAAGTAGAGAATTATAAGGTAATTGTAAAACAATAAGCAATCTTTTTTACACTATGAAAAGTATCAAAATATCATTCATCTTGGAAGAATGTTATAAAGTAAATGAGTTTGAATGAACATTTGCCTTGTTTTATTTTCTCTGACTTCTTTCAAACCTAAAAGGCAGGGACTATGTCATCTTTGTGTCGTCATAGTATGATTTCAAACCTCAAAGGCAGGGACTATGTCATCTTTGTGTCATCATAGTATGATTTCTAACATTGAAGGCAGGGACTTCATCTTTGTGTCATCATAGTATGATTTCTAACATTGAAGGCAGGGACTATGTCATCTTTGTGTCATCATAGTATGATTTGAAAATTCAAATGTGCTATATTAGTGTACTATCATGACTTAATGTTTACATTGCAGTGCGAGTATGAAGGGTGTGGGAAGTTATTCAAGAAGCGTCAACACTTGAAAACTCACCAGTATGAACACACAGATGTTAAGCCATACAAGTAAGTATTGTATGTAAAGAATTCACGGATACAAATATCTCAGATTGCATTGGTTTATATATATTGCCCATAGAATAACATCGTCCGATTAGAATGTTTTGCTGAAGCCGACTTTTCATGGCCGTCCATACAAACCTGTGAGTGATCGTGGTTAGGTAAAGTTGCATTTGATCTCAGTTATTTGATTTGCCACACCAAAGAGCTGGATCGTATGATAGGTTTGTATGTTTAGGTTACAAATGAACTATGATGTGTACAATGTAGAATTTCATATGATAGGTTTGTTTGTGTTACAAATGAACTATGATGTGTACAATGTAGAATTTCATATGATAGGTTTGTATGTTTGTGTTACAAATGAACTATGATGTGTACAATGTAGAATTTCATATGATAGGTTTGTATGTTTGTGTTACAAATGAACTATGATGTGTACAATGTAGAATTTCATACGATAGGTTTGTATGTTTGTGTTACAAATGAACTATGATGTGTACAATGTAGAACTCTCTCTTCCTGACATTATACCATGATGTCATACCTACATACTGAGTTCAGTAACATTCAATATTGTATCTCAATTAATCTTGTTATACATGTTACAAACATCGTGTATTCATTGTTGTTATAGGTGTGAATACCCAGGATGCAATGCAAGATTTATATTTCCATCTGTACTAAAACGGCATTGTAAAATTCATGACGGTAATGTATGAATTTGTGAACTTTATCAGTTGCACAGTCAAACCTTTGTATAGTGACCACTTCTATATAAAAACCACCTGCCTATAGTGACCACTTCTATATAAAAACCACCTGCCTATAGTGACCACTTCTATATAAAAACCACCTGCCTATAGTGACCACTTCTATATAAAAACCACCTGCCTATAGTGACCACTTCTATATAAAAACCACCTGCCTATAGTGACCACTTCTATATAAAAACCACCTGCCTATAGTGACCACTTCTATATAAAAACCACCTGCCTATAGTGACCACTTCTATATAAAAACCACCTGCCTATAGTGACCACTTTTAGGCAGTCCCAAGGCATAACTCATGGACAACCTGTATATAAAAACCACCTGCCTATAGTGACCACTTTTAGGCAGTCCCAAGGCGTGACATGATCAAGCTTAGCTTATTAGATTTTGCTCAACTCGATGAATGTGTTACCGTTGCAACAGTATTATCCCGATTATTTTCTGCACAAAACTATTATGTCAAAGGTATTAGTTTGCAATCCATAAAAAAATGATCCATCCTGCATATAAAGACTATTTTAATGAAGTCCCTTGGCTGGTCACCATACACAGGTATCATCTTATTTTAATGAAGTCCCTTGGCTGGTCACCATACACAGGTATCATATGTTAATGAAGTCCCTTGGCTGGTCACCATACACAGGTATCATCTTATTTTGAGATGGTACTTCCAGATTTATTTGTGTTTTGTCTTTTATCCCACATATTTGATGATATGAATGTGTGAATTGTAGAAAATATTTTACAATTCACCAGGATTGACCCGAGTTCCACATTAGTGCAGTTTTTCTAAGCAAGGGTGAATCCCATTGAAATCCCAATCACACAACCAAAATTGTTAGTAAATGAAATTCACAGAATAAATTTAACGGGAAGCTGAATTGATTGTCAAAAATGCTAATAGGAGCTGATGACCACAGGTTGTCTAAAGACACATGTGCATTTCCTAGAGTAAACCATGAATCAAGATCTTGTCTGTTTCTAAATCAACACTGTCAACAAAACTGTGCATAGTGGATGGCCCACCCACATACTGATAGAGGGCGCTCTATCAAAATAACAAGGCTGAAACAATAAATTACAACATCTTTACAGTGACTAGAGTTTTTTTTTGTTACAAAGTATTATAGTGTGATGTTTTATACTGTGTGGTGTTTGTAATATAGCTATAGACCCTCTAACAAACAGAAGAACAGTAACAGAACATACCTCTTTGAGTCCCCGAAAAATACATGGGTTTCTGTGAATACTGGCCTTTGAGTTGGTGTTCAATCATAACAATTATTTTCTCTTTGTTTCCTTTTAGGTTATCCATGTACCAAAGAAGGTTGTATGCAAAAATTTGAAAAATGGTCGTTATTACGAAAACATGTGAGCCAACACGAAGAAGGTATATAGAGACTAAAGTCAAAACCTACAATTATTTGCTTTTAATAACATGTTCTTTGTAAAGTTTGTTACTCACTTCATTTTTCGGGGAGTAAACACCTTTCTCAAGCTGTTTATCTGTGAAATCCATAATCTCAATGAAGTCCTGAGACTTCTTCAATAAAGTAAAGCAATTGTAAATCATATGCATTTTTTTAAAATACATCTTTTATTTTCAATTTACTGTAAAACCATTTAATTTCACTATTTTGATGTATTGAGCTTTTTCACTGGCATTTAAGTTCACAAACTTGGCAGGGAAACTAATAGTTTTTATTAGTCCCGGTTTGAATAACACTCAGATGGCTGACTGTTGGCCATTTTGTTTTTTGAAAATGTGGTATCTTATGCATGCTTTGTCATTCTTGGACAGAATTTGTCAGTTTTCAAATTTGAGAAACCTGTCCATGATGATTAGTTTCATGTTTCTTATCTCAGTACATGAGCCTGGACAAATTAAATTCAGTTTGGATACATAAATAGCATATCCTGTTTAATTTCTGATCATGTATTACTATTTGAAAGAGTCATTTAATATATTTAATTTCTATTGATACTAACCCAGCCAATTATTCACTCTAAATTGTTAACTATGCTTTTGGTTCATACGTTATTTTTGGCATGAATAACATTTCCCCTAATTCCAACGGGGACTATGTCATTAACAATGACTTGTGTTTTAAATTTAGCGGATTATACTTATTGGTGAAAATAACAAAATTAAAAACGAGTGAGTAATTAATGCATTTACAGGTTACCAGTTTATGGTTTCAAATTTATGTTGTGTTATTACCAAAAAAATGTCTAGGGTATGTTTAGTTTTATTTGTTTTTTCAATCTTTTGCAGTCTTCAAGTGTGAAAAATGCGACAAGACTTTCACTAAAAAAGTTAAGGTAACTAAAAACTTGTTAAATATTGGAAGAACTGTGGCAGTCGCATCATGATTGCCTATATGGGTTCTACATATATGTGACGTACAGATCTTACTCATAATACATGGCAACTGTGCTGCATGGCAACTGTGCTGCATGGCAACTGTGCTGCATGGCAAC